ATAAGTTTATTTAGTAGCAAAACTAAGGTTAACTTAGTAGAAAATAAAGTTATAAGGTATTTTGAAATAATTAAGCTAGAGAAAATTTGTGTACGAGTGATAGACGGAAAGAGTTTTATTGGGTTCTATTGGCGATTAGATATAAAATAGACTGGAGATAGTATTCAGATAAGTACTAGCCTTGTTTTTTAGCAGTTTTTTTTTCAGTTACCGGAACTAATTTCTCTCTCTTTTTTTTAGCAGTCTTTATTTTTCAGTTACCAGAAATAACTTTTATCCTTTAAGTATTTTCTCGTTTAAATTGGTAATTAGATATGAAATAGACTGAAGCTGGATTCCGATAAGTATTGGCTTTTTTTTTTCTTTTTTCCCAGTTTTTTTTTTCTAGCTGCTACTCTTTTTTTTGAAGTGCTTTTTGTCTGAAATTATGTAAATGAGAACTAGACAATTGATATTTTTTAGACATGTATTAGCTTTTCTTATTTTCTAGATTTCTTATAATGTGACGATATTCATAAATTCACATAATCATCATTGTGGCATCACGATGTTGTAATCAATTAAGGGACATTATCATTATGCATTGTGTGTTACTGTAAAGTCTCGAATAGCGAGCATGGGCGTTATTCTGATTTTAAACTCGAATTGAGCTTAATTCAGGCCTAAAATCAGAATAACACCCATGTCTGTTATTTGAGAATTTACAGGTAGAGGGTTTTTTTTTTGATGAACTTTTTGTACATACTGTATGTACTAAGTAAAATACATAATAAAGTTTGAATTTGATATTTTTTTTTGTACTGTATATTATGTATAAAATATTAGTTATGTAATTTTTGGCTATATTATCTAAAGTGATTTGATTAGTTGACAGGTTGGCAGGTCAGATGCCCGTTTTAACTATCATGTGATAAATTTTAATTGGCTGATCATAGGGTGCATGACCATGCAGGTGCACGAAATTTTTAAACCCAAGAATTTAAAGAAATTTAATTAATAAAAATTTTTTTAAATTCTAGCTAAACTTGTATAGCTTACTATGAAGAGTAATAAATTACAATAATTTTTAAGAATAAATATATACATTGCACCCCGCGAAGTTATTACTCATCGCCCCTGCCTCATGAAATTACTAATTATTGCCCCTATTATAAAATTATAAATCGGGTCTATTAATGTTATACATGACCACGTGATTACAAACGTTAGAGTGTTGCTCATAATGTAAGACTGACTTTGCCAATACAGCATGAGCAAAGTCACTATTACATTGTGTAGCAATGCTCTTCATGATTATTCTGTAAAATATTATATAATATTAAACACAATTGTCACTAATAATTTGCGTCATTATGCAATGCACATTGCTAGATCGCATCCCAATTTATATCACTATGTGATATGCATTGGTAGATCGCATTCCAAGCACTAATCATTTACATCAACATGCGATATACCAATTTTATCGCATACTAAACAAACCAGAGATCATATATAATGCAAATTCTGATCTCATAAATGATTTTGTTATTTTCATTTTTATACAAATAATCATTTCAATAAAAATGTTATCATATCAACCTATTACACAGAATCCTTCAAATTATGATATAGCAGATTTAATAGAGATAGAACAATATATCTACTTTGATGATAGTGCTGAATGTTCTACACAGGTGTCGCCCAATAATTGTGATAATAATAAAGAGAACAGCAATAAAACATTGACTTACCAAATAAATGCTGATTCTGAAGAATGTAATAACGATACATCCACTAATGTAAATAGTGGTATTGTAGTGACTTCAAAAGACATACCTATGAATACAGATTTTGATTCTTGGATAGATGTGGAGAATTTCTTTGAAGAATATGGAAAAGGAAATGGTTTTGCAGTAATTAAGTATCGTGTAGAGAAAAATAAAGCTGGAATAGTTCATAAGCGAACTTTCACTTGTGAATTTGGAGGTAAATACAAACTTAACAAGAATAAAGAAGTTTCTCAAAAGGGCAAACAAAGAATGACAAAAACTAAAAAAGTCAATTGTTCATGGCATGTAAACCTTTTGTATGAAGAAGCTGAAACTCAAATATCAATTACTATATTTGTAAATGAACATAATCACAACCTTAACTTTGATACACAAGAATTTGGACACAAATACCGTACTCTTACTGAAGATGCCTTAAGGGAGGTAGAAATTATGATGAAATATGGAAGTTTATTTATTACAGCACAACGCAATCTACTAAAGGGACGTTTTCCTGATTTGAATTTCCTTGATAGTGATTTTAACAATGCTATTCAAAAATTTAAAAGAAAAGAAAAAATAAATAGAACAAATGATGCATCAGACCTGCTTAATCACTTGTTATCCAACAAAATGCATAATTCTAGGTGGTCCATGGAATTTGAATTGGACGAAGATAATAGACTAATATGGCTGTTTTGGATGTCTCTCGGACAAATTGACCTGTGGTTGAAATATTATGATGTAGTTGTTGGTGATACTATAGCAAAAACCAATTTGTATTAAATGCCTTTGGGGTTATTCATAATTATTGACAACCATGAAAAAACTCGACTTGTTTGCCAAGCCTTAATAAGTAATGAGATGCTTGATACCTATAGTTAGATTCTAACCTGTATTAAAAATACAACACAAACAGAGCCCTTAGTCATGTTTACTAATTCAGATCCAGCACTTGATACTGCGATCTGTATTATTTTTCCTAAAACATATGCTGCACACTGCATTTTTCATATAGGTCAGAATTTGCCTAAAAATCTTAAATTAAAAATAGGCAATAAGTGGGAAAATTTTATAAAAGCTTTTTACTAGTGCCGAAATAGCCTTTGTGAATCACTTTTTCTAAAACGGTGGAATGATATGCTTATTAGATTTCCAATGGCAAAGGATTACTTGTTATGTATCTTGTATCCAAGTAGTCAATCCTGGGCTCATGCCTACTTATCAAAAATATTTATAGCTAGAATAGAAAGTACAGTCCGTGTTGAATCATATAACTAGATTATTAAAAAAGAAATCAAATCTAATTGCTCATTGTGTGAACTAGTAGATCGTCTTGATCAACATTTGAAAGTAAAGACACAATGGAATAGATTTTATCTATATAAAGTCTCAACAACACTTCCTACCGTTTCTACTTCTGGACATGTTCTTTTTCTAATAATAACCCAAAATATTGACAAATACCTTACAGAAGCTATTAATAATCTAATTAAGAATGAAATAGCAGAATGCTTATTTCTTATAGCTAATAAGATAGTGCCAACATTTAATAAACTTAACTCTAAACAAGAAATCGATAAAGAGGCTTCATGTGGATTTCTTGAAGATAATTATGATACATGCCAAATTACTCTTCAGTCTATAATAGATGAAGTTGGAAGTGAAAATATTAAAGAAATCTGAAGAATATCTAATATCCACATTGAAAAAAAAAATTGCATACATTTTATAGTTATTTTAAACCCAGTATCTTTTCTTTGCTTATGTCTTATGACTATTTCAAAAGGACTTATCTGTTGACACTACTTCCATATAATGATGCATTCCAAAGTTGCAGCATTTTATATATCAATGATTTCTTCACAATGGTACAAAGATTCCTATCAAGAGAATAAAACATATGAGGATGAGAATATTATATTTAACCATGAAAAGGGAATTATTGATAATGAAAAAATTCTTCTAATTCGACAGCCATCTACGATTCTGGTTATGGCTCCACCTATGAGAAAAACTTTAAAAAAAAGAAATCAATATGGCAAAGTTTGAGGATTAGCTCGTGAAGTAACAAAACTGGCTGTAGATGTCGATGATAATGAAATAGTTAATATTCTTCAAAGCTATATAACGAAAAAAAAAGATGAAATAAATGCATATAATGGTGATACTCAAAATAAAAAAAAAGGAAAAATGCCTTTACATTTAGTTAATGCACAATCTAATTCCATTACACAAGAATTGCAAGAATCTATTGATGATAATGCTGTAAATGAACATCAAATTATATCAGAAGAAGATTATAATGATACTGTAGACGAATATCAAGCTATATCAGAGGAAGAAGAAGACAATGCTGTAGACAAACGTCAAGAAAAAGAAAACAAAGACATTGATGTGGAAGAGTATCAAGGTATATTAGAAGACAATAAAAACAATAATTCTAATAATAAAACACTTGATAATGAAGTAATTAATATTATTCAACTTCCACAAAATGTTCAAAATCTACCTCATATTGTTGAAAAAGGACAACCGTCTAAGCGCCGTTATATGAGTAGTATAGAAAAAGAACAAAATCGAGGAAAAACTTCTTCTAGAGGATCATATAAATGCCATTAGTGTGGAGAGGTGGGTCACAATGCAGCTTATCATAAGCGAAGTGAAAGAGGAAAAGGAAGAGGACGAAGTAGAGGTAACAAGAAGAGAAGAATTTAGATATGTATTTGGTAACCTCGTTTCCTAAATTAGTATAATGCAATATTTCTATCCAATATGTACATATGTTGTGTGAATGCACAAATTAGTTCAATTGGCAAGTTTTTTTTATTAGAAAAGGTACTAGCCTAATAAATTAGTAAATCGACCTACATTAATCAATACTGTACTGTTTTTTGTGAACTAGGTAAAATTCACTACCCAAATTTATTTCAGATTATGCGGCATGATTTTAGTGATTATCATGTTTATACTTGGAATGATATAATAAAATATAGCACGATCTGAAATAAATTTGGGTGGTAAATTTTACCTGTTTTTTTTGTGAGAGCGATCCAATAATCAGATCCAAAAAATTTAGCTAAAAACTAATTAGTTTCTTGCTATTATAAAGAGTAATCAATCATATACATAATTTGAATATATCCCGATAAATTCTGGTTCTGATCTAATCTATAAATTTGCCAATTGGACTAATTTGAAGAAAGTTATTGTTTCAAATTACATGCGACATTAGGATGTGGGACGTCTATAAGTATTAATTCAAGACCATATAAGCTATTTGTTATTTCTTGCCTATACATCATCATTATAGAGAAAGTGTACGTGAAGTGCACTTATAGAGTGTGCACTATTTTTTTTATATAAATAAAAAAGCGATAAATAATCAAATCGCTCCTTAGATGCAAAGAATATTTATTTTGCAGGGTGCGATGTCTAATTAAATTCAATTTTTAAAATATACTTATAATACAAGTAATAATTATTATAATATAACAAATTAAAAGTGTAGTAGTCACCCTCTCCAAGCGGCAGGTCTAGAGTTCGAATCCCACTAGCAATGATTTTGAAAAATAGACCTGTGTACGGTTAATGGCTTTCTATCAGTTGGATCTAGATTAATCTGTAACCTTGGTTACACTATCTAGTAATGGAAGCTTTGGCGCAATAAATCCAGGGAATTGGAATAACTAAAAACCTGTTTGGCAAGTTCCGAGTTTGGAGATAGTGGGGATCTATGACAGTATTACAGAAGAGCTGAATTCAAACTGGGCTCAAGATCAGAGAACTAAGCAACCAGGTCCTAATGGTGAAGGACATATCAGCTGAACTGCCAGGTTGTCGCACTGGAGGAAAATGATATATGCTCTGAAAGTATAAACCAAGGGGAGGGTGTCCTTCAGACACCTAAAGCCTAGGCAAACCAACCTTTCTAGGTTGCTAGCTAGAAGTAAGAGAGGGACTGATAAAGAATCCAAATAAAAAAACAGTCTAAATGCGGAGTACTGGGGTTGCTAGAAACCAAAAACAAGGGCAAGGAGTACATAATAGACGTCTAGTTAGGAAGATTGGTACTTGAGAAACATCTGTAAAATAGCAGCACCCCAAAAGGTGGTATGAGATACAAATACAGAATAACAGGTTAATATGTACTAATTAGGAAGAAATTATAGAAACAAGCATGTAAATACATGTGTGGGACATATACTGCTATGTTAGGTTTGCCTTGAGAATAGTTAAGTGTTCTAAAGTAGAGTACAAAATCTAGATTGGGTGATACCAAAATCTATCTGAGTTTATAGTAAGGAAACCTATTAGGTTAGAGGGCAGATGGAGGTAGTTAGAACCAGATAGTTTAAATGAGTACCCCTCTAGTTGGGTGCAGGTATGGCAAATAGTGTAGAATCTTTAGACAGACTACTTAAATTAGACACTCAAAAGGTGCACGTGTGGCTTGATATACCATCGTTGTAATTACATATAAAACTCCATCTATACTTTAATAAAAGGTTCTATAGGCCAAAGAAGTCATCTTAATATCAAAAAAAAAAAACAATATAACAAATTAAAATTTTTAACTATAATAAGCTATAGATTTGTTTTATATAATTAAATATTTAATTTACAAATTTATTAATATATTATAGT